AGTTCCTTGTCCCAATATCTCTCCGTTTACTGTAAAACTAGTTCCTTGTCCTAATATCTCTCCGTTTATTGTGAAACTAGTTCCTTGTCCTAATATCTCTCCGTTTACTGTGAAACCTGTTAACTGTCCTAATATCTCTCCGTTTATTGTGAAACTAGTTACCTGTCCTAATATCTCTCCGTTTACTGTGAAACTAGTTCCTTGTCCTAATATCTCTCCGTTTACTGTGAAACTAGTTCCTTGTCCTAATATCTCTCCGTTTACTGTGAAACTAGTTACTTGTCCTAATATCTCTCCGTTTACTGTGAAACTAGTTCCTTGTCCTAATATCTCTCCGTTTACTGTGAAGCTAGTTACTTGTCCTAATATCTCTCCGTTTACCGTGAAGCTAGTTACTTGTCCTAATATCTCTCCGTTTACTGTGAAACTAGTTTCCTGTCCTAATATCTCTCCGTTTACTGTGAAACTAGTTACCTGTCCTAATATCTCTCCGTTTACTGTGAAACTAGTTCCTTGTCCTAATATCTCTCCGTTTACTGTGAAACTAGTTACCTGTCCTAATATTTCTCCGTTTACTGTAAAACTAGTTCCTTGTCCTAATATCTCTCCGTTTACTGTGAAACTAGTTACCTGTCCTAATATTTCTCAGTTTACTGTAAAACTAGTTCCTTGTCCTAATATCTCTCCGTTTACTGTGAAACTAGTTACTTGTCCTAATATCTCTCCGTTTACTGTGAAACTAGTTCCTTGTCCTAATATCTCTCCGTTTACTGTGAAGCTAGTTACTTGTCCTAATATCTCTCCGTTTACTGTGAAACTAGTTCCTTGTCCTAATATTTCCCCGTTTACTGTGAAACTAGTTCCTTGTCCTAATATCTCTCTGTTTACAGTGAAACTAGTTCCTTGTCAAAACATCTTTCCGTTTACTGTGAAACTAGTTCCTTGTCCTAATATCTCTCCGTTTACTGTGAAACTTGTTACCTGTCCTAATTTCTCTCTGTTTACTGTGAAACTTGATACCTGTCCTAATATCTTTTCGTTTACTGTGAAACTAGTTACTTGTCCTAATATCTCTCCGTTTACTGTGAAACTAGTTCCTTGTCCTAATATCTCTCCATTTACTGTGAAACTTGTTACCTGTCCTAATATCTCTCCGTTTACTGTGAAACTTGTTACCTGTCCTAATATCTCTCCGTTTACTGTGAAACTAGTTACTTGTCCTAATATCTCTCCGTTTACTGTGAAACTAGTTACTTGTCCTAATATCTCTCCGTTTACTGTGAAACTATATACTTGTCCTAATATCTTTCCGTTTATTGTGAAACTAGTTACTTGTCCTAATATCTCCCCATTTACTGTGAAACTAGTTACTTGCTCTTTCCGTTTACTGTGAAACTAGGTACTTGCTTTAATATCTTTCCGTTTACTGTGATGCTCACTGGTGGTCGCTCCTTTCCATTGTTAATTATCATAGTTTTCGTTGTTTGAACATCAGTATCTAAACTCGCTGGCCTGCGGATCCGAAGGTCATGGGTCCGAACCCGCATGGTTCCGGATTTGTTTGAAAACATAACCTTGGCTCCGATGACCACCCAGGATTAAATGGGCACCAGTTAAAGTCTGAGGAAGTATTATATAAAAATAAAGGTCTAGTATCTTGTAAGTCTTTTGTTCTCAGGACACACAGAAGACAATTCTCCACACAGTGAAGAAATGGCCCTGATGCTATCGAAAGAAGCAGACAGGGCACTCATAGAATGGGAAGCTGTGAGTCCCAGAATAATAAACACGCCATTTAGAACAGCTAAACAGAAGGTGAACATGTCGGTAAAACAGCGTTAGTTAGTTAGTTATTCCTCTTGTGCCAAAGATGGCGCATAGGGCAGAGGTCATGGCTTTCCACGTCTGTCGGTTCTTTGCCACTTGATGTAGGTCTTGAGTGCGACTGAGACCCATGGTTGAGCTCTCCCTTGTGATGGTTCTACGGAGAGTTTCTTTTGGTCTTCCCTGTTTTCTTTTACCCTCTGGTGACCATACGAAGGCTTGGTGGGGAAGTCTCTGTATGTCCATTCTGAGTACGTGACCGATGTAATTCCAGCGACGCTTTCTAATAAAATCAGACACATATTTTTGTTTTGTTTCCTGTCTTATAGATGTATTGGACCTAAAGTCCGACCAGTGAACATTCAATAGCTTTCGGAGGCATCTATTCTCGAAAGCGACTAGTTTCTTATCGATTGACAGAAATCTGTTTCTGTAACAGTGGATGTTTTACGATGGCGGCTTGTTAGGCTACCGATCAACGGACTGGAGACAAGCTTGAAGAAAACAGCGTTACGCGCCAATAAATCATAAAGATGCGTCTGTTAAGGAAGAATTTTACATGCAGCATCAAAAGGACCTTCACTTTACTTTACTTTAACGTTTAAACAATACCCTGCACTCTTTCAGTTGACTGTATCCACTAGATCCTGTAACCTGCTGACTTCCTGCTAGTAACACTGTGCCATTAGCGTGTCTTAGATTGTTTAGGTTTTTTCTACTGACATTTAGTCCAGGCAATACTCCAAATTGTTTGAACGTGTTTTCCATTTATACGCTGAAAAAGGCTTAGGGATAGCACACACCCCTTATGTACAGTTTGTTTTACCTCTGCCGGTGCGGAATCGATGTTGTTGTGTTTAACCGTGGCTATTTGTTCCAGGTATTGGTTACTAAGGACAAGAAGTAGGACTTTTTTCAAACATGACCTGGGCTCCCAGGTCGATCCAGCCTTAAACGGGTACGTTTCCGGGAAGTAAAGGCGGTTGGTGTGATGTTGACTACATCACTTATCGAGTGCCGATTGATATATAAACTATAGGTCAATATCTATATAGCGGTGTCCGTGGCCTAGGCGTTGAGAGTCCGACTTGTAATTCCAACATACCGTCATCGAAACCCACTGCTGGCTGCGTGGATTTTTATCATGGGTATCAGGATGTATGTCCTGGGGAAGTAAAGACTGTATTGCTGACCATATTACCCACCTAGTACCGATTGGTCTGTTAAAAATATGCGTGCTCTTCCAATTTGCCCGATGCGCCTAAATGTGTGAAAAGAGATCTTTACTTTTTTCCAACTTTACTACATCTGTATGCTCAATACACCTACAAGTATGGACAAGGGCCCTGTACTTTAACTCAATTTACTTTACTCTACGGGTTAAGGCCCTTTTGGAACAAGCAAAGGAATCAGTATAGAAAGAAGATTATCATAGCCTGGAGAGAATGAGGCACCTGGGTGTAAGCAGAGGGTCTGGCCGGCTGACTACACTCAGAGGAAAGGCAAGACGGACATTTAACCAGATTGTGATCGGTACCATTAGTACTGAAACTCTGCGATGGCTGCTGAAGATGAGGACGGAGCATGAATGTGAATGCCCGAGTGCTGTGATGTCAATTCTTGACTCAACTCAACTCAACTCAACTAATCTCTACGGGTTAATGCTTAGGGATAACACACATCCCTTATATACCATTAGTTTTATCTCTCTATGCTGAATTGATATTGTTGTTGTTCTGATATCCTTTTCATGTAATCTTATATTATGGAGGTACGCAATAAGCCTTTCATTATGCAACTTACTATTCAAATAAACAACAGGAAACCATTGTTTCAATGACTGACAGTAATGTCGACTTCATTTTCTTTACTAGCAATGCTCTGCATAGTTTTATCATAAGTTTAGAATGTCAAGAACTGGAATGAATAATTATATCACATATTTACTAAACAAAGAACCTGTTAGGTATGTTTCATAAACTACCCATAGAATATATTTACCATCAGTCTACTTAACAAAGAACAGAAGGGATCATTTTAAGGGTGTGGTTACTAAACAAAAGCATCCACCAAGTCAGGAAAGGATATTTTAGGGGATAAAAAGCGAAACTTTCACATACTACCTTGACCAACAGAACATGTAGGAGATCTGCTTCCACGCTATGATCAAAGGGAGGCTAGTTCCAAACGTATCCGACCTGTGGATGGGGGAAACTGAAGTACTTATTTGGAGATAATAATTACAATGTCCTTAATTTAGACCTTTCTTAACTCGGGTGGGTCTTGCTAGTCACACTCGCCATGACCATGGGCTGTGATTCCCCTGCCTCCTCATAGTACATTTTAACACAACACTATGGTCTGGAAAGAAGGAAAGGTGCCAGCAAAATGTGGGGCGCAGAGTAGCCAACCCTTCCCAGAGGGTTAACCACTGTATTTGAACCATTACAAGAATGACTCTCCTGTAATGAAGTAGGGCGTCAGCCGTCCCGTTCAACAGAATGTTCTGTGGTAAATTAAAATGGATTCCTTTCAGCGGTATTTTCCTTCTATGGTTAACAGGTCAAAATCGCGAGGCGTCATGTGATACCCGAAGTGTATGGAGTCTGACGTACCAGATAAATGTTGTGTTTGGCCAAGATTACCCGATTTCAATTCGAAAAACGGGTCCTGCATGATTCCCTGATGGACGTTGCCAAGGCCTCATTGCCAAGCATTCTTAGGAAAACAAAACATTAGTTTTGCCAAGAGGTCGATTACGCAGAAAATATACCGAATAAATATAAGAAAAAGTACTTTATACAAAGCGCACAGAATGACCCGTTTCAGAGATCTTTTCCTATCCTAACGCTGCGAGACATTCTAGGTGTAGAGAACAGAAGAAGCAGTAGTTTTGATTATCAGGTTCGACATTCGACATCCTGATGACATGGCGGCGTGCGAATACCTTTTAAAAAGAACTCCACTGAAATGCTTCCAAAAATGAAGTGGTCACTAAGATAATTATGTGAAGTTTCTAGAAGACTACTAAAGGGAATACGGGTTTCAAACATAAAGGTGAGCACTTTTATGAGCCTTTGGCTAGACACTGTTCGAACAACCCTTGTAACGATCATTACACATGATCGCATTTCCCCACGTTTTGTAAGCTCACTGAAATCTAAAACAAATGGATATCATACAATATACAGAGAATTCTTTTCTGAATCTTGGAATATTTCGTAAAAATTGCTGTGTATTTGCTCCCACGTGGACAGTTTGCTAGACCGCAAAGCCCAGAGCTTGCTGTGATAGTCAGGTGACTTCACTTGAAATGCTATGAACTCAAATTTGCCATTGACGATGATTTCTCTATCTGGGTCTGGTCGCTCGTTTACGGATATCAGGTCGTGAATGTTTACAAATTCAAGAGATGCGTTTTTCTCAGTCAACAGTCCAAACAGGTATGCATCATCAATGGGGATCAGCTGCTGAATGCCAAACGAAGCCTCGAAAAGTTGTAAGACACTATTGCCAGTAAACACAAGAAAGTATCCGGAGCAAAATGTTGGCCATGTAACTCTTCCAGGCAACAGCGTTTCGTTAACGTACCATTTGATCCGGGGATCTCGGGGAATAGGCATGTCAGTTTTCACATCGCAAGCTACCGCTGATTTCTTCTGAGCCAGCTGCGGCACAATCTCTGATATCACCCTGTAAATATCAACGAACATATCGTCATCAGCTTTCACGATATAACGGGCATTTGGGCAGTGAGCGTTCACCCAGACAAGCAGGGTAACCGCCTTGTATGTCAGGTTCTTGAACGTATCTGAGAAATTTCCCTGAATGATGTCTGAATATGCGGCAAACTCCGATTCGATCTGGTACTGCGTCATCTGGTCGGCAGGTTTCCCGAGAATAAACACAAGCTTCAAGTTGATGCCCACGAAGGTTCGATGACTGGCCCAGCTTTCGCGGATGCTTCTGCGCACTTCTCTATGATCCACAGCGCTGTGTAGATACACTAGCACGTCAACGTTTTCTTTCTTGCACACGTCTGGATTCTCAATGATGTAGCCCGGAAACAGCGGATGTTTCTCAACGGCCAGTTTTGATGAAGTTATATTCGGTCGATTATCAAACCACTTTCTTGTGGCGTTTCGCTGCTCAAGCTTCTTGGATTTATGACTGTCACTGTGTCTTTCAGAAATAGTTCCGAGGGTACCATTATCTGTCTGAATCAATAGTATTCTGTTTCTTGTCTGCTCCTGCTGCAGAGAATGCAACATTCGAACTAGCCCATCCTCACCAAGAACAGGTTTCCACTGATAAACGTTTTGTCTCACAAACATGAGAGATATGCAAACCAAGCATACAAAAGGCAAGATAAGCTTCTTCGCAAACAATCGCTTCATCTCTGAAATACTCTACCACTAAACTACAAACAGTAGTAGTTCTCAGAAACGGACGAATGACTTGCGTTATTCTTGTTGCTTCCGTGAGCCGTAAAGTTAGCTCTCTTATTCGAGAGGTTCTTATGTAGAATTTTGATAACATGCATGTAAGTATCACAATAAATGATTCTTACTAATAACAGCTTTAGATTCTGAAGATCCACCTTCTCCTCGCTGTTTCATATTCTTCTGAACACCGCATAATAAATGTTTCTCAGTAATATCTGCCTTAGGATGAAGAATTAACCTGCCTTATACTGGCGTTTCTTTTTTTTTTTTTTTTTTACAGTATCAAAAAATACGAAAGTATATATCTTTCTTGGGGTTACACATTTATGATGTTCCAGAACTGTTTTTTCACAAAAATTTCAACAACTGGTGGTATAATTCGATGTTACGTGTATTGCTGACAGGAATCAACTTGAATGAAGTCTAGGTTATGTCACCGGTGGTGATAAAATTCGATGTTACGTGTATTGCTGACAGGATTTAACTTGAACGAAGTGTAGGTCGTTACACTGCATGTCAAAGATGCAGCTCCACAACAGAACTGGCGGGGGAAAATGGCAGAGGTTAGTGACCTCTCAGATCAGATCTACTCCCTTGAATTGCCCTAGGGAAAAAAAGAGATAGAAAAACAACAAATGAAAAACAAGAAACACATGTTTTTGGTTTTTTTAACAATTTTATTTCAATGAAGCATAGATAATAATTACATGGCATTTTGTTTATCTGTATAGCAAATACAAAACAGTCAATATGAGTATCTATAAAGCCATTTCATTAAAAAATGTATTTTTTTATAACAGAAAGAGTTGCGTAACACGATCACTTCGCCCACCCCTTCTGCCCCATAATTTTCGAACGCATGATCTCTTCAAAGGGAGAGTGGCGTGATCACATCGCCAGTGCAGTCTTAAGGCACTTGCCGGGGGGTGGGGGGGGGGGCATGAGCATAGAGGCTCCATGATAACTTTTTCTCGCATTCAGGCGTATTAGGTATATAGGGCTAGACCTATATTTTATAGACCAATCAGCACTTAGTGGGTGATGTGGTCAGCGCCGGCTGCCTTTACTTCCCAAGACTCCACCTGATACCCACCCAATGCTGGATCGACCTGGGAGCCAAATTCATTTTTGGTGAGAAAAAAGTCAGGACCTGAACCAGCGAACTTTCGATGCGCAGCCGGCGTCTAGCCCTTACACCGCGGTGGCTCCTTGTGGAAATCAGTGACATTCGCAGCCGGCGTCTAGCCCTTACACCGCGGTGGCTCCTTGTGGAAATCAGTGACATTCGCAGCCGGCGTCTAGCCCTTACACCGCGGTGGCTCCTTGTGGAAATCAGTGACATTCGCAGCCGGCGTCTAGCCCTTACACCACGGTGGCTCCTTGTGGAAATCAGTGACATTCGCAGCCGGCGTCTAGCCCTTACACCGCGGTGGCTCCTTGTGGAAATCAGTGACTTGCCATAAATAAAAATGTCTTTCATGTGTGTGGTTTTCGTTAGGGCCCCAGCACAATGATTTGCTCTGGGGCCTAGAATGCTGTCAAGACGGCTCTTCCTTGTGCCTGTATTTGGTCTGTTATCCCGTCCAGTTTCCTAGTTAAGATAAAGCCCCAACCTACCATTGTATGCCTGAGAAGAACAGGTTTCACCACGCGAAGGCAAAGAAGGTGTCGGCAAGAGATGCAAAGAAACATTAAGAGTCTTATATTCGGTAGCGAAGCTACGTACGAGACACACATCGAGTGGTGTAGTTGTATGAAATAGTAAACAGGAATAATAAATAATTTAAAAAAAATGTTTTTCTTTTGGGCAATGGGAAGTATAAGCGACCATTACATGCACGCCTGGCCACTGATTGTATTGCGTCTCATTGCTGAATACTGAGAAACATTGATACTTCTGTCAAAAGATGTACCTCATGTCAGTCAATGGAGCCATAACAGCAACACGGAGGAGGGGCAGGTGTTGTACACGGCAGTCCTTTCAAATATTTGAGTCGCATGTGATGCTTACTTAACATTTCTATAGATCAGTCCATGTGGGATGTGATGTAGTTAATATCAGTCAGAGACACCGACTAACCCCAACCCTAACCCCCAACCCTTAACACCCCTAGAATACTTGACTTTTCCGGGAATTCCAGGATTTCCTTTGTTTGGGGTGAATTACAAATATTTGTTGGACATAAAAATATAATGGACTTAGGCGGGCACAGTCGGTGACTTTGCAACATATGTGCATTATTACTAAAAGTTTGCGAATCCCTACAATACAATATTAACCACATGATTATACAATCCATTAAATTGTATACAGATAGCAATCAGTAATATATGCATTATTGTCTTAATGTAGGCAATAAGAGACCGGTTAGGTTGATCAGATGTAACATAACCACGGGGCAGAGAATCCGTTGATTGACGGGTGGTTTAAAAAATTGTCAGCAGGGTAGTTAGTGCTAACATGAAAAGCCGCCCACTGTTGTCATTGTGGTATAGTAGATGCTTGAATGAACACAAAATCCAGGAAAACTCAACGAAAGAAACACTGCAGATACTAGCAACATACAAGTAAAAGTTTAATTAAAGTCTTTATGTTAGTAAATAGCATATGTTCAAACTTTTCGGTGTAGGAAACACGGAGACGTGTCCCTGCAGCTTGGCAGCGAAAATGCTGTCAACTGTTTGCTAACAACAGGGGCACACTCTGGCCTCTTTTCTCTCTCTCTCTCTCTCTCTCTCTCTCTCTCTCTCTCTCTCTCTCTCTCTCTCACTCGCTCGCTCGCTCGCTCGCACACACACACACACACACACACACACACACACACACACACAAAGACAAAGCTGTCTGGTACCTGAGTAAATATGGACTGCGCTTTCATAAAGGCTATTGGCTTCTTGATATAGGTTTTCTGACAAAAGGATCGAAGATTAGTAAATAACGAAAATTATCATGACGGCACTTTGGTCAAAACCATAGGTGCTCCACACTCCTCATCAATAGCCACACAAGCGCAAAACGAATGACGACGACTGTGCTCTGTTCATTAATCAAACGTCTCGTGCTCTTGCTGAAATGTTCATTTCTTGCAGCTACAGGTTGATCCCCATGCAAATCATTCTTGCAGCTACAGGTTGATCCCCATGCAAATCATTCTTGCAGCTACAGGTTGATCCCCATGCAAATCATTCTTGCAGTGACTTACAGGTTGATCCCCATGCAAATCATTCTTGCAGCTACAGGTCGATCCCCAGGCAAATCATTCTTGCAGCTACAGGTTGATCCCCATGCAAATCATTCTTGCAGCTACAGGTTGATCCCCATGCAAATCATTCTGATAGTGCAGGGCTTTTCAGTTAAATTCACTCAGGGGCCAGAGTGTTGACAATGGGGATCGTTACGGACCACAGCACCCAGCTTCAGCATAGAAAGATCATTAACACAATATCCCTGGCACTCACTCGCGGGCCACTTGCTAGGTCTCCGCAGGCCAAATCTGACCCGCGGCCCGCCAAGTAAAAAGCCTTTCGACAAGGATACATTCCTTTAGCGGTATTCGTTCTTGCGATAAGCGCTGCGCATGACGTCGACGACACCGCATCTGGCCCGTGTAAGGCCAATCGTAGCAACAGCTTTGTCTATCATAGAATCTGCACGCTCGTTGCCTTGAACAGATCCTGAATACCCCGGCAACAAAGATGAGGGTTGTTAGTCCAGCCATTCGTAACACGTTTACAGATATCATCAAATCTTGTGTGATGATCCCAGCAGGATTCATTGTATATGGGAGAGCGATCAAAATAAACAGAACTCACCATACATCCTGCATATAGGAATTGATAATCAGCGTTCACCATTCATCATGCATATAGGAGTTGATAACCAACATTCACCATACATCCTGTATATAGGAATTAATAATCAGCATTCACCATAATCCTGCATATGGGAATTGATAACCAGCATTCACCAAAATCCTGAATATGGGAATTAATAATCAGCATTCACCATTATCCTGCACATAGGAATTGATAATCAGCATTCACCATAATCCTGCATATAGGAATTGATAATCAGCATTCACCATACATCCTGCATATGGGAATTGATAATCAGCATTCACCATACATCCTGCATATGGGAATTGATAATCAGCATTCACCATAATCCTGCATATGGGAATTGATAATCAGCATTCACCATACATCCTGCATATCTTCTTCTTTTTCTGCCTTTCTATCCCCCAATGGAGCATAGACCCTCAACCAACTCACGCCAAGTCGTTCTATCCTTTGCCATTACATGGAGCTCTCCCCATGTCCTCCCAATCTTTCTAACCTCATTCTCCAGCTCTCTTCTCCATGTGTTTTTTTGGCCTTCCTTTATTCATATGCCCCTGTGGGTTCCAATGCAAAGACATTCTAGTTATGCGGTTCTCCTGTTTTCTCAGTGTGTGCCCTATCCAACGCCAGCGTCTTTTCCTCACCTCTTGATCCATTGGAGCCTGTTTAGTTCTCTCCCAAAGTTCTACATTAGTTATTCTATCATACCATTTTATTCCCTCTATTCTGCGCAGGCACCAGTTAATGAATGTCTGTAATTTATTAGTAATTGCCTTGGTTGTTCTCCATGTTTCCGCCCCATACAATAGTACTGATTTGACATTAGAATTAAAAATGTTTAGTTTAGGATTTCTTTTAATTTCTTTTGACCTCCACAATCTCCCCGCCTGTGTAAATATTTGCATATTTTATTTCTTTTAAGAGTTGATTAGTTACGTAATCTTTACATGACTTTGCAGAACCAACCTTATCATTTTTTTTGGGGTGTTGTGATTTTTCAAGACAAATTTACGTCCAGTAGTTTGCCAATGCTTTCTGGACGTTTCTTTTAAGAGTACACACAATTATTAGGCAACGCCGAAAGAATTTCGCCGCTTCAAGAAAACAGCATC